TGATATCCGTATCATGAGGGTGCATAAAAAAACATAGTCCGTCATCTTTGAATATCCACCATATTTGATTTAGAGTGACGTCATTTTTTTTCGTAATCTTCGAAGCAAACCCTTTTATTTGATACCAATATCATGGGAGTGTATAGAAAATACCTAGTTCACCAATCCACCATCTTGGGCGGTCCGTCATATTGGACTTAGAATGACGTCACTTAACTAACTATGCATTGTCATCCAAACTAAACATGCAAGCAAAATTTCAGCTGAATCCGTTGAAGATAACTGCTTTTAAAAAGTTTATATGTTATATTTTGTTGTTATATTTAATATTATATGATATGATTTTTGACTTAAAATCCTTGCAGTGATGAGGAGGCCTGTACCCAGCTGGGAATGTATACTTTTGGCATTTAAGTAGTCGACGTATAATTTTATTTTTCTTTAAAATTTTAGAAAACATTTTCAATATGCATTATTATATTAATATTGTAAAAATACTCTTTTGTATTTTTCTGTGCTTTTTAATAAATGTACATCCTAAGAATATTTATTATAGATTCTGTATAAGAGCAAAAGGTTCGTATAATTTTCTCATAGCGTTTATGCTCAGGATTGATAAGGGAAATATTTTGTCGAGTTATCCCAAATAGACCTATTTTGTATATTAGAGGACTGGTTTTATAGAATACTGGTTTTCTCTCACTTTTTGTTATTTATTCAAAATGAAAAACAAAATGTATTAAAAGCGGTATAAGCAGTAGTAAAGTAAAAGTGTTAGCCAATATCGACCTTTACTTATAATCGTTGATTATCGCTTACTGAAATAAACTTACACTTTTTAGTGTCCTATAGTGAAGAGTGAACAGTGAAAGGGGGTGAGAGCAACATTAAACATTTTTTTAAAATAAATTTTTAATATTGATTTTATGAGGAAGGCTATATATCGTATATTTTTAACCATTTTTTGCTCATTTGTCACCGTATCAGCAAGATTAAATGTTTTTGTGTTGTGTTGGCAGATTTCACAGCTGTCTTCTAAATACAATATTATTCATTTAATTACGACGCAATTTTTACCAAAAATTTTGGTAGAGCAGCATATTATATGCTGATGTCTATAAAAATGAAGAGACATTAAAAAGCGTGTTTACGAATAATTATTATGTATACTATTACAATATATTACAAAAGAAGAAAGGAGTACATAGTATAGTATTACATAGAAAACGCCAAACACCATTTTACCCACGACGGAACGGAGAAGTATGCATTTAGGGGGAGAAGTTGTTTGTTTGTGTGTGCAATGAAGGCCCCGAAATAAATTGAAATTTTGAATTTTTATGTGTGTGACTAATTGAATTAACGATAAGTACGTAAATAAATGTTGTTTTAATTGATATAAACTTCTGCATAAATTGGGAACAGGGCAAACAAACATAGCAATGGCAGCCCCGTCGGATTTCCCTAGGTTTGTTTATTATATTAATAGGTAGGCTTATTATATTAATGTGTAGTTCCTATATTTGATATTATTGCTGCGCCTATATCTCTACGACAAAAAATAGGTACACAAGGTAGAAGCTACTAAGGAAAGTCACAATTAGTTGTTTATATGACGGATCTCGCAACAAATGAACCCTTTTTAAAATGGTTTTAGTCGGGAGATTTTAAAAACTTAATATAATCTTTTAAACGGGTTTTCATAATTTTTGATTTTGATTTTTATAATCAATAAAATCCAATTATATTGCCAAAAATTGTCCCTTATCAAGTCTAGCAATTCTTAAAGAGCGTTTTTCTTTACTGCATGCTCGTTTAAAATTAATGTTGCAGAGTCTCGGCCACAAAGTACTTTATCATTAATAGTATAAAAAATAAAAATAAAAATTGTTTATTTCTTTAACTTAGGTCTACAAGCATTATTTTGTGGCCAGAGTCGCCCAGGAAGCATATAGTAATGCTTGTGTTGGGTGACTCTGCTCTTCCATTGGACCGAGAATACAATATTTATTTTTAGTGTTTTTAATAACTAAACTAATCTATAGATTTTACAATATTTCAAGGGCTAGAATACTAGTTTCAGATATTACATTGTGCCAAAACTGCGATAAAAAAACTTGGGATCGGTTAATAACCACTATATTTCATGCCACTATATGTTATTTGGTGCGTGCGTGTGTGCGTGCGTGAGTGCGTGAGTGCGTGCGTGTGTACGTGCGTGCGTGCGTGAGTGCGTGCGTGCGTGCGTGAGTGCGTGCGTGTGTGAAGTTCTTGAGAAGTTACATGTCTTAACTTTTTAAAAACCCATGTGAGTTTACGGATCCTATTATTTATAGCATCAATTTGAGGGCGCCAACTTAACACGCTCAATCTCATCGCACCCATATCGCCCATTACAAGTAATGTCACAGGTGTGAATTCTTAATGTCTGATTTGGGGGCGGTAAAGTACGCTTATCGATTGCGAAGCAAATAATCTAAGTTTTGGCGATGTTCAGGGTAAGAAGAGCGGATTTGAACCACATTGCAACCCTGTGGAGACCGTGCTCGGCAGCCGCAAAAACAGATTTTCAGGATGTACCATTAAATACTACGGCTGTGTCATCTGCGTATGAGAATACGTGCCCTCCGTCAATTTTGGGGTTAGTTAGTTCATTGTATATTAAGGTATATTAAGAACAATGTAGGACCTAAGACACTACCTTGGGGAACACCGTACTCAATTGTAGTGTCAGTACTATTGTAATTGTCAATTTTTACGCATTGCGACCGGTCTCTAAGGTAATCAGTTAGGAGTTTTAGTGGCACTCCCCTAATGCCAATACTTTCCATTTTTATTACAAGAGTGGGGACCGACACCGTGTCCAAAGCTTTTTTAAATCTAAGAAGACTGTCAGGCACTTTTTCCACAATCTAAATACTGGGTTGCTAAGGAAGGTTAAGCCTGAAATGGCGTCTTCTGTAGACTTTGTTTTTCTGAAAATAAATTGGAGACTGGATAAAATATTAAATTTTTCAAGGTAGTTAATAAGGCGTGAATTTATTAGTCTCTCGATAATTTTAGAAATAACCGACAAGACTGAAATCAGTCGATAATTTGTTATATCTTTTTTTGTCATCACCCTTGTAGGGTGTAACTATAGATTTTTTAAGCAGGGTCGGAAATATCCCTTTTCTGAAGCAGAGGTTGGCTCGATGACTAATAATGGGGACAACTAGGGGTTTAACAATTTTTATGAATTTTGTTTGTATACCGTCCCAGCCGGGAGCACTGTCAGTCTTCAAGTTTGAGATAACCAAGTCGACTTCCATGGGGTCAGTCTCCAGAAGTACAAAAGAAGATAGTTGTGTTTTTGGGGTAGCTATTAAGTTACCATCCGGTTGTGGGCACCTACTTTGGATGTCAGCAGCAAGTCGCTTACCGACGTTCGCAAAGAAATAATTTGCATAGTTTACTGTCTCTATGGGAGAACCTCGAGAATTAAGTAATTCACAGCTTCTAGTTTTAGATAAGTTAAGATGCGCTATTTCTTTGATTAATTGCCATAAGGCTTTAGGGTTTTTAATATTAGTTTTTAGTTGTTCAGATTCATATATGCGTTTTAGTTTTTTAATTAATTTATTACAGTAATTACGGTACCTACTAAATGTTATTTTGAGTATTGCATTATACGGGTCAGACCTAAACTTAAGTTGTATTCTGTTTCTGTTCCTTATAAAGCGTAGTAAACCGTTGGTGATCCAAGGTTTAATAATGCGTTGTTTACTCGAGATCCTCTTAACTCTAACACTCTCATCAACGGATGATTTGAGTTTATTAATAAGATGTACAATTACATAGTTAGGGTCTTCACTAAATAACAGATTGGATAGATTTTTGTTTATAAGTCTCTCAGCAGTTTCTTCAAAGTCAATAAAGGTCTTGATAGTTGGAGAATGGTAGTTTTTTTTTTACTTTAGCGATGCTCATAAAGACTGAAGTATGTGTATCAGTTGTTGAAGTGTTTAAGACTGCTATACTAGCTGACAGTTTAGTGTTATCAATTTTTAAGATAAAGTGGTCAAGGCAACCCATTTCTCGTGTAGGAACTATGTGTCCAGGTAAGAGACTATGTGATGAGAGCATGTCAAGGTAATAGGCCCGATTATTACACTCGTAAGATGTTTCGTTATCTTTCCTAATTGAGTTTATATTTATATCGCCAGAGATTATAATATTTCTATTACATTTTAACGTTTCCAGTAATGAGCAAAAAAAATTAGATGCGTTCTTTTATGCCGGTGATCGGTAAATACCAAGTATTGCACACCCACAAACATTCAGCTGTATACACGAGGCATTATCAAGGTTCTTTAAAAATTGGGTTTAACTTAGATTTGGCGTAGATGACCACTCCATCATTTTGGTTACAATTAAAGGTAGTAGCATAATGAGTGTAGTTACTCAAAGAGGGGACGGGTTTATTTATGTTAAGGTGACATTCCGTAAGTATTATAACGTCAGTATCTGAGCTAAGATCCGATAGTGTCACCTCAAAGTTATTGAAGTTACAGTAGATGATTCTGATATTTTGTTGAAGTAGTGTAAGATCATTTTTGTTAAGGTCAATATATTTGTTTAGGTCCCCTATGTCGCATGTGACAGATTTTGCCACAGCGATATTGTCAATTTCGGTTAAGTTTCTGAGGTTATCCATCATTAATATATAAACATTTGAACTGAATTTCTTTTCTAAAGGAAGTGGTCACACGCCGTAAAAAAAAGAACGACCGCTCACAGCAAAGGGTACAATTTGTTTTATGTAGGCTAAGCTTTTTAGTAATTATGTCAGTCTTTAGCAGGGTAGAATTCATTTCTACAACAATAGTTGCATTAGCAACACTCTCTTTTTTTCCCTCGAACTCTATATATGTCCTTGATATCCGATTTTGTAATGCTAGCGCCCACAGTGGTGGATAAGAAGATGACCAGTTTAGTCAGATCATCTTTTGTCTCTTTTTCTATTTTAGGAACATTTTTAATCTCGAATTTTGCTTTTCTAAACCCTTTTTGTAAGATCTCAATTTTATCTTCGAGGATATGTATTTGGTGTCTTCTTTTTTTTGTTGTTTCAAGTTCTCAATTTCTTTTTTTAATTCTGCGTTCTCTTTGTGCAAATGTTCTACAGACGTTTCAATTTTGGTACTAGTTTCTTGAATTTGCTTCAACCTCTTATTTATTTTATTAAATTCTTGCTGTTGTGCAGCAAGCAACGAGGCAAACATATCCCGCATTTCTTCCTTAAAAGCACAAAAATCACTCAATTTACAGCAGGGGGTAAATTGGTCCAGATCAGCAGGACTATCCTGTTCCTTCCTTTTTTTGGCACGTCCAAAGACGAAATTTGGGGGGTAACAATAGGTTCATTAGACAAATTCGATTCGAACATAGGCTTAGCGGTGTGCACAGTAGTCAATATATATTTATATACATAATACAATACAATATATGTTATATATATATATATATATATATATATATATATATATATATATATATATATATATATATATTGACACACATATGTAGACAGCTTTTATTATACTTAGATAATCTAGGAAGTGTGTCGATTACAAGTTTTTCGGGGTATCTATGGCTTCGAGGAGATATACCTGTTGCTTTAGTAAACAGATGGTTGTGTTGTTTAAGGACGCGTTTACAAAATGGATAGGTATAGAATCGCACTACTACATTGACAAAAGTCACACACACACTAGTGTACGCACGGTTGGCTGTGGGAATCGTAGTCAAATGAAATTATTTTGATAATTTGAAAGATTGAATTTGTTTTTCATTTCTTATACCTACCTCAGAAATATACTTCGATACGAAATATGAATACCTGCTCCAAAGACTGCTTGGCACTGGAAGCCCTCTACTGATAGTGAGATGTTAGCTCTGGACTTTGAACTGGTTTTGTCAGTTATAATAAGACCTTACCTACCTGCGGACTTGATGGAGTGACCTGAAGGTGTAATTTGGTGATTACAACAATAGGAACTCCTAGACTAGTGGAACTAGGTGTGCCGAGTTTGGGTTCGTTTTGTTGGTTATGATGAGACCTTACCACGGGACTTGATGGAGTGACCTGAAGGTGTAATTCGGTGATTACAAGTGGAACTCCTAGACTAGTAGAACTAGGTGTGCCGAGTTTGGGTTCGTTTTGTTAGTTATGATGAGACCTTACCACCAGACTTGATGGAGTGACCTGAAGGGGTAATTCAGTAACTAATGCTGGAATTTCTGAACGAGTAGAACTAGGTGTGCCGAATTTGGGCTCCGTTTTGTTAGTTATGACGAGTCCATACCTCCGGACTTGATGGAGTGACCTGAAGGTGTAAATCGGTGATTGCAACTGGAACTCCTAGACTGGTGGAACTAGGTGTGCCGAGTTTGGGTTCGTTTTGTAGGTTATGATGAGACCTTACCACCGGACATGATGGAGTGACCTGAAGGTATAGTTCGGTGATTACAAGTGGAACTTCTAGACTTGTAGGACTAGGTGTGCCGAGTTTGGGTTCGTTTTGTTAGTTATGATGAGACCTTACCACCAGACTTGATGGAGTGACCTGAAGGGGTAATTCAGTAACTACTGCTGGAATTTCTGAACCAGTAGATACTAGGTGTGCCGAATTTCACTCCATCAAGTCCGGTGGTAAGGTCTTATCGTAACTAACAAAACGAAACCAAACTCGTCACACCTAGTTCTACTAGTCTAGGAGTTCCATTTGTAACCACCTGATTACACCTTCAGGTCACTCAATCAAGTCCGGTGGTAAGGTCTCATCGTAACTAACAAAACGAACCCAAACTCGGCACACCTAGTTCTACAAGTCTAGGAGTTCCACTTGTAATCACTGAACTACACCTTCAGGTCACTCCATCAAGTCCGGAGGTATGGACTCGTCATAACTAACAAAACGGAGCCCAAATTCGGCACACCTAGTTCTACTCGTTCAGAAATTCCAGCAGTAGTTACTGAATTACCCCTTCAGGTCACTCTATCAAGTCCGGTGGTAAGGTCTCATCGTAACTAACAAAACGAACCCAAACTCGGCACACCTAGTTCTACCAGTCTAGGAGTTCCAGTTGCAATCACCGATTTAGACCTTCAGGTCACTCCATCAAGTCCAGAGGTATAGACTCGTCATAACTAACAAAACGGAGCCCAAATTCGTCACCCCTAGTTTTACTCTGCAAGAAGTTCAAATAGCGGTCACGAAAGTACACCTTCAGGTCATGCCATCAAGTCCAGAGGTAAGGTCTCATCATAACCAACAAAACGAGCCCAAACTCGGCACACCTAGTTCCGCTCGTCCACGAGTTGCAGTAGTAGGTAAGTTTATATATCCTACTTATTTTTAGCTAAATAAAAACTGTGAGTATAAAAATAATAATTTTATCACTTGTCAAGTACTTATGTTTCCAATTTGTTTTTTTCTAATATTTTGTGTATGTACAGCGATCTTTTCAGAATGAGCCGCTGCAAACAGGCGATACAGCGTCCACTCACGACGGCGGCCGAGCGCGGACTGTGGTTTCATCGAAATCTTTGTACAATAAATCAAAGCAGGCACCAACAATAAAATAGCCCTTATTGCAATACATTATGATTCATCCGTATTACCAAAATATGTGAAAAAATGTGCATCAGTTTTTATTTTTTTTACGACTATTTGTGACATTTTGTTAAAAAATAAACCCAGGGTTTTTTAATTGAATATGTCTGTCATCTTATAGTATTTTTTAAATTTTTTAAATATGTTGATAATAGACCAAAACATGTACCGAAACACAAGCCGGTATCGTTAATTTTGTAGAAAATGGCAACGAAAGTTCGTTTTTACAATATAAAAAACTACTATTTTCAACAAAAGAGTTACAGACATTTGCAGATGAAGAACCAATCTATACGTGGTAGTTTTTACTTATATTTGATTTGGTTTAGTTTTGTCACAAAATCTACCGAAAAACACCCTAATTTTGGTTGATTTGCAAACGCGTCCTTAACGAACAAACGAATTTCATATATGTAGAGCGAGGGCAATGTCAATAACTTAAGGTTTTTGAATAAAGGTTTACATGAATCAAATGGCGCTTTAAGAGTCAATGCTCGTAGACATTTTTTTTAGTGATAAAGGCTTTATTTAATTGAGAACCATTTCCCCAGATAATTAACATGTAACGCAGAATTGAAACTACATAAGCAACTACAACGACAATTGAAACTACATAAACCGAGAGGGCTATATTTATGTTAGTGACTTTTCTAATATACCTTAAAGCATATACAAATTTATTTAGTCTATCGCACACTGACAAATGAGGTTTCTATCAATTACTAAGCCAAGAAATTTAGTGGTTGGGCGGAAAAACCATTCGTAATTTTATTTTATTCGACGGTATGCTTGCCAAGATTTGTCCTTTCCTTCACCTGTTATCCCTCCGACACACCGGGGTGGTGGGGGGAGAGGGGAAAGAAGATGATTCTAGAATATCGCGTGATTTGCAACCAATAAGAAGCGCGCCACTCCGAGACGCCTTGAAAGAAGAACCGAAGTAATATAGGCTAGCACGCGGCACTTGCGCGCTCTCCTCCCTTTGCGCCCTAGTTGAAACCACACCGCCTAGGACGTCCTAGAGGGCTTTTGCCCACGCGCACCGCTAGTTCAACCATACCACTGGGGCAGTCGCGCCCCAGGAGTAACCGCCTCACCTCGTGTGAGATATAGTCGCGCACCGCTCTCTTCCATCGCACCATCGACCAGGACCGCATCTCTGGGGCCCCAGGAGATCCGCCAGAAGTCGCAACGCAGCAGCAAAGCGTCCAAGCCGCATCGAAGTAACACCCCGGTAAGTGCGATTCCTTATTTTCGTTACCCTGCTTGAAATTTGTGTTTATTAGTTCATCCGCCCCAATTTCATTCCTCCTAATGTGATCAAGCAGGGGTTCATTCATAAACCTTGGCAAGCAATAGGTTTTCTTGGAAGAGCGAGTGCATTGTTAGGGAACCATGTGCCAAATCCGCCATCTTGTTTAGGCATCATCCGCGTATACAGTCCACATAGTGTAACATCTCGCGTAATAGGGTCAAGGCTCGACCGGGGAATTGTGACTCGGCAACCTTAAGGCCCGCCGCTCAACCATTTTCTGGTCTTTCGAGCCGGATTTCGACTGGTGCTTTATAGCCTCACCAACCATTGCTAGATTTATTTCATTTTAGATTAATTCCTTATGCAATGCACTCTAATTTAATATTGAATAGATTTAAATAGTGTTTGTTTAGTTTAAATTTAAACTTTGGTTAGTTATTCGCAAATAGAATTATTCATTTAAATAGTGTTTGTTTAGTTTAAATTGAAACTTTGGTTAGTTATCCGCAAATAGAATTATTCATTTTAATGGTGCTTGTTTAGTTTAAATTTAAAAATTATTAGTTGCGCGCATAAGTGAATCGACTTATTCATTCAAAATAGTTTAGTTCCGCACGGTCATTCAGCGTACCCGACATTTTGTAAGAAAACAGTGAGTTTAGCGACCGACACGCGTCACCTCGGCTCGTTGTAAAGGTGTTCAATTTAACGACGTAATACGGCACGATAAGACAATAGTGTTGTGAGATATAGTTGTATTACATTGCGTCCATCCTCCAGCGTTGTGCGATTAATTGTGATTAATCTAATATTAATTCTAGTAATTTAAAATGGCAGTTAGTGGAAATGAAATTAAACTTAAAAATCTTTACGCCAAGAGGGACATACTCTTCTCACGTATACAATGTATTAGTGATCACATAAAGAACGTTAACATAGAAGCAGTGCGGGAAACGTTTTTATGTGAAATCGAAACGGTGGATGCTTTGCGGACGGATTACGAAAAGATATTAGACCAAATTAATAATTTGGAATTAAAAATCGACTCTAAGTATACAGTGAACTATCAGCCGCTTCTAGCATTTGAATATATGTTGTGTCGCGTGAAAAGAACGGCGAAGCTCTTGCAGTCCCCATCACAAAGCGAAGCAAAGCCGGAAGTCCAGGTACGCCCACGTGAGTCACTTAGGTTGCCCCCAATAGACATTCCGGTATTCAATGGCGATATTAAGACATGGCCCTTCTTCTTTAGTAGTTTTCAAAACAATATACATAATAATCCATCGTTATTGGACGCTGAAAAATTATTTTATTTAATTAGTAAACTGAGTAGCAGGGCACAGTCAATTTGCTCGGGTTT